GTGTGGCCTGGTTACTTAGCAGTTTATTGTAGAAACGGATTAATTAACCAAAGTGAAGAGCTAAATTTCTTCGGAGATGAATGCGGTCCAGGGAAAGTCCACATGTGATGATATCTTCATAGAAGAACACTCACCTAAATTTGTTATACTCACCTTTGTAATGGTAATTTACTTGATCGAATTAACATTTTAGCAAACTTTTTGAGTTTATGCTAAATATTAAATTTTTTAGTTAGGTAAATGAAGTGAACAGTTCAATTTCTATGATTAATATTCTGTAGTAAAGCAGTGGCCCAAATAAATATTTTATGGCATACTATGAAGTAATAAACTGTTATTGGCTCAATAATATTTAAAATGCTGATTAATTTATASGAGTGTTAGGAATAGGAATTAATTTTAGARTAAGCTAGGCTAAGACACATATGTACTAAACAAGGGCAGAAAGACCGATTGGGTCGATAGCCTTTTTCTGTAGGAAATAAAGATTATTTATATATATATTTAAAATAGTTTCTTCCCTTTGCACTTTAGATTTAATAAATAACAATAAAAGTTTTGAGGAAGCATGAGACGCGCCACATACCACACGCAAAAAAGGAAACAATTAATACTTGCTTCTACCATCCCTAAGCACCATAACATAATTTACACTAAACTTACAATTCAGTAGTAGCAAGAAAGAACAAAAGTAGACCAATATGAAAAATTATATTGCTGATAACACTTCATTATACTCTAAAGCAGTAGGTTCTGGTATTGCAGTTGATAAAACTTTCAACAAATTTCTAACAATTTTCTGAGGTTGAACTTCAATGAACTGCAAGCTCTAAACCCTATGAATTCAGGAAAAATGTGGCAATAATCACATCAATCACAATAATCACATGGCAATAATCACAATCAGAAAATAAACTATGTAAAAGATTAGAAATAATTTTTTTTTCAATATCGTTGATCGTATTTTGCAGTTTTTTCCAAGAGGAAGTTTGAAAATGTTTGTTTTAAAGGCGTTTGAGTATATACTGCTGAAATAGTATTAATTTAGGAATCTCCTTCTATAGGGTGATTCAGAATTAGCGTCAGTCCTTTAGGGCTGTTCATGGAGTACAGGAAAAATAGTAGAAACATTAATTCGGACTAAAAACTGAGATATTTGCAAAAAACTTGGTTGGAAGACGGCAACAATGTTTTTCAAGTTATTCTACCTTATTAACATGCTATTAAAGGTTATGGATCAATGATCAGGGACTTAATGGTGTTCTGTGTATCTTACATACATGGTATGGATGTGCTCTTCCTAGGTAATTATTCAGTGCTCAGTTACCTGAGAAACTGTCAGTTGTGGTGCAGTGCCCAGAGTACCTCTGGAAGGCTCTGATGTGAATTATCTCCAATTCCTGTTCCTCTATATTTGGAACCCGAGCACCTTTAGATCGTGCACTATCTGCGTCAATTCCTGGGGCCATTCGTTCAGTGTTTCTAGAGTTCTTACAGCTTCTACTGTGGCATTTACCTATAACTAATAGCATATTCGCTGTTGGTTTACATTTTGTAAAAGAAGCATCAAACTAAGTCACAGTTTCACAAGTGTTCTTATTCTTAACAAAGACATTGTTACCGCTTTCAATTTCCTTTAAAAAATTGCAGAAAGGTAATTTTTTTATATAAATTTTTGTCATAATTGGACGTACGAATCGTAATTTTTCGTTTCGAATGCTTAAGATGAAAAGAATTGCAAAAACAATAGATTTTCAATAAAATCTGGGACCATTTCAAAGTAATCGTTATTAATAAAGTTGAAATTTCATTTTCAGCTATTAATATCTTTTAGGAATTTTCAGAACAAAACTTTTCAATATTTTTCTCGTAGGAACTCTCCAAGTGAGTCTCTATAACACCTTAAAAGAAATGACGCCAATTTTGAATCACTCTTTATTTACAAGTAAAATTACCGTCAAAAAAGATGTGGATTTTCATTTGTTGGGTGTATAGAACTTTAATATGTCTCCATTGTCATTAACAGTTTTTTTATTGAATCTCTTAGTTGTGCCATCTAATGATTCAGTTCTGATTTTACCATTCAAATATCCCATTATTTCGATTTTATATTGTGCTTTGATAATATCTACAACTGTTTGCGACTTTTTGTTCGTAGATTTTTTCTGTACTCTGTCGTTCTTTACTTAATGCGGGTGCGTAGGCGGTTATAAAGTGAGTGCTACCAAAAGTGTTTAGTATATATATAAATATTGTCAATTAAAGTTTTCATACGGCTATTTTGCCGCATTTCATTTTAAATCCTGTCACTCTTAGTTGTCATGACGAAAGTGGCAATTTACTGTCAGTTACCTTTTGAAAATAATTAGTAATCATGCTCGAACGCTTAAATTATACAAGCGAAGATCATTTAAACGTATTTAAATAATAACATAATTTATGTTCTTAATTAATAATAATAAATAAGTTTAAATGATCTTCGTTTATAAAATGTAAGCCTATGGGCATGATTATTAATTATTTTCAAAAAGTAACTGGCAAATTTCAGCACTCGTTTGGCTTTTGATTGTATTGGATTTGATAAAATTCCACTTTTGTCATGGCAACTAAGAGTGACAAAATTTTAAATAAGATGCAGCAAAATAGCCATATGAAAACATTAAATTTACAATATTTCAAAAACTAAACACATTTGGAATAGACAACCTTACACAAACCTACATTTATTTTTTTATATTATTTAAGAAAAATGATTTTGGGCTGTTTTGGCAACTGTATTTTGAAGCTTATTTTTTTAATACTTTGTATTAATAGTTTTCAAAACGTTGTCGAAATTCCCTTAAAGTAAGTTCTTTCCAACAATAAATGCGACTCAAATTAAGTAGCACATACTCCCTTATAGGAAAAAGCTCAAATTATTCGAGTAACTGCAACTGTAATTTTTTATATAAAATTTCCAATAAATCAAAAACGGTTAGACTTAGGTATAGGATGATACCCGTGAAATACATTTATAATTTGGAGTAATATTTTAAAATTTAATAATATATAGGGTGTTCCATTTAAAATAAGGAAGCCCTACTACCGGTATAACCACTGGCCTCGGCACACTGTTCAATTTTCAAATTTCTCCTAATTATAGTTTGCCAAATATCGATGGCGGCGGATTCCGGTGGACACTCTGTATAAGTATACAGGGTGATTCAAAATTGGCGTAATTCCTTTTAAGGGTATATAGGGGCCCACTTATAGATTAGAAAAAAAATATTGAAAATTTTTTGTTCCAAAATTTCAAGAAGATATTAACAGTTGAAGATCGAATTTCAACTTTGTTATGAAGCATTATTTTGAAAAAGTCCCACGTCTGATGGGTAGCCTATTGGAATATCTTAATCATTCGAAAAGAAAAATTACGATCTCTTTCTCAAATTTTCTCAATCTCAAAAAATCTCAATTTTTTATTTTAAAAAAGAACAATTTTTTGATAAAAGGTCAAAGCGGCAATGATGATTTTTGTCATTTATAGATAGTTACAGGTAGACAGCCTTTGTCAATAATAACAAACATTTGTTAAACTGTGGCTTATTTTGAAGCTCCTTTCACAAAACGTCAACCAACAGCGAATTTGCGAATTTGCGATTAGTTATGGGAAAATCCCACAGTAACATAGCAGAAGCTGTAAGAACTTAACACCTGCAAAGGGCTACACACTAGACGAGTAGCCCGAAATGGACGCAGATAGTGGACAATCTAAAGGCGCTCGGTTTCCAGACCCAAAGGAACATATATTGGAGATTATTGCATCCGAGCCTTCCAGGAGTACTTGAAGCATTGCACAACAACTGACACTTTCTCAAACACCGGATACTTAAATCTCTCGAGAACTCACCCGAGGAAGGGTCTACATTCCTACCATGTATATAATATACTCAGGACACTAGAACATATTGTAACGGAAATGGCCTGGGGTACTCACGTTTGAAATGGAGGGATCAAAATTCGCGGTATTTCTGTAAATGGGAGCCCCATTTGCGCCCCATTTACTGTCAAATATGACACTGACAAGCGGGAAGTTTCGCACCTGTTCTGGAGATTTCGAGAACCATCT